GTCGAGAAGGGAGAGGGTTGACATGTTGTGGGGTTGTTAACCAGTGTCATAAAACAATATGTGTACTACTGTCTCGTGAGAAACTATTTGTTCTGTAAACCTTCACCTGAAGTACAATAAAAAAAAAAATTAAAAATAGAACAAAATACCCATGTATATCCCACTTGCCTTAAAAAATTAAACATTACCAGTATCATTGAATTTCAATGTAATTTTTATAACGAATTATTATAAAACATAAGATTTTTTTTCACTGGTTAAGTTTTTGGTTCGTTATGTTTAGAATGCTTTGTTCATAAATACTTGTTTTTGTCTATTATCTCTTAATTACAATGTAGTATAGATTATACTGTCACCTAACCTGTCATCCGTGTAGTACTGATTCATCTGCTAATTGGGCCCAATTCTTTACTCCTCCTCTCCCTCCCAGACTCTTTAACATTGTCATTTGTAATTCAAAACCACACCCAAACTTGTTGCCATGGAGTCAATTCTGACTCATAGTATAAGACAGAGTAGAACTGCCCCATAGGGTTTCCAAGAAGCAACTGGTGGATTTGAACTACAGACATTTTGTTAGCAACTGTAGCTCTTAACCACCATGCCACCAGGGCTCCGTTCAGATTTGTGATAATCAGACTTCTCTCTGGAGAGCCAACCTCTTTTTCTAAACTTTCACTTCCCCTCCCTGCCTTATCTAGACGTCAGCATTCCTACTGACTGTCCCTTTAATACCCAGGTTTCTTAGTTCCATCCCCATGATTAAACCTTATACTTGCCATAAAAAAAACCAGTTGCCATCAAGTCGATTTTGACTCATGGCGATCCCATGTGTGTCAGAGTAGAACTGTGCTCTAGAGGGTTTTTGTGGCTGATTTTCAGAAGTAGGTCACCAGGCCTTGTTCCGAGGCACCTTTGGGTGGACTTGAACCTCTAGCATTTTGGTTAACAGCCAAGAGCATTAACCATTTGCATCACTCAGGGACTCCATACTTGCCATCACCAACACTGCAATCTGTTTCACACTTCTTACTCTGGCCACCACCTTACTCGCCTTGTTACTCAAAGTGCAGTCCTCAGAACGGGAGGGGATTAATGTCCCCTGGGAGCGTTAGAAAAGCAGAACTGAGGCCCCAGCTGAGTTTAACAAGATCCCAGGAGATTTGTGTGCAGTTTGAGTATGCAGTGGCCTCAGAGTAACAGTCCTTCATCCTGTTGAGACCTCTTATCTGTTGACCTCACCTGTTTTCCACTGTCAGTGCCATCCTGTCATCGTTTCCCTTCGGCCAACTCAGATCCCCATTCCATTATAATCACTCTTTTATAATCACCATCAACTCCCTTCTCTTTAAGGATTACTGGCAACATTTTTATTATAATCAAACCCAGCTCTCTACCTTCTTTGTATCTGTGCCTGAACAGGTACAGAAGCTTGTTATTAGGAGTGAGAAGGGAGAGTGGAAAGATTGATTTCACCTTAAATCCATGACCACAAACCTCAAGTGATGGTGCTGCTTGGCATTCCTACTGAGTTTCCCTAGTAAGCTCTCCTTTCTTTGTTCAAAAACAAATATTTTATGTGTTTAGCACTGTCTCCAAACCTCCCACAGGTTTCTCCCCTCCCTGTTACCTCACCAGCTGATGAGAAAATAGAATAATGCCTTTTGCATAGCAGTATCTCTGGAAATACTTATTGAATAAGTGGATGACCATCTTGTAGGAAGATTTCCTTCAGAGCACTAATCGATTAGGAGGCAACACACCAGGTTCCAGGAGAGTGCCACCACTCGTTTCGTTGCGTGACCTGGGGAAAATCACTAAACTTCTCAGACCCTCAGTTTCTTTTTCTATGAGTGGGGATAATTGCTTGCCTGCCCTCACAGAGTTACTATGAGACACAAGTAAGGCACTTTGATATTTGTGCTTTGTGAGCTCTTTGACCCTATACATATATAGGTCATTTTTGTAATAAAAACCAAATCCATTGCTGTTGAGTCGATTGCAACTCACAGCGACCCTACATGACACAGTAGAACTGCCCATAGGGTTTCCAAAGCCATAATCTTTATGGGAGCAGATTGCCAGGTCTTTTCTCCCACAGAGTGGCTGGTGGGTTTGAACTGCTGACCTTTGAGTTAGCAGGCAAGTGCTTCACCACTTTGCCACCAGGGCTCCTAGTAGTAATATTTTTAATCTTGTTGTGTGGCATCTCCTCAGTTTGAATACTAGATTTAATGAAAAGAGCTTGGACTTCGGGATCGCATACCTGTGTCCAGGTCTGCGCTGCTCAGCTGAATGACTTTAGGTGGCAGGTCATTAACAAATGAAATAAATCTGTTAGTTTCTTCACTTGTTAGGAAGGGATAATAACAATAATAACACCAAATAATACATAGTATTGTAAGGCTCAAATGGGATAATAATATGTATAAAAATTATTCCTAAATTATAAGGTTCTGTGTGTTATGGTCTTTACGTGTTGGGAAGATGGGGCAGAGGGGTGATTTGTCTTACTTTGCGCCCAAACCTCTTGATTCAGTGCATCAAAAATTCAGATATGCTCAGTGTATTAGTGAAGCAGTTTTGTTTTTTTTGGTCATGTCTTCTTTGGAATTGATTAGTTTCAACGTGACTTTGACTAACCTTGAAACATTATGCAGAGATGGTGCTTCTTGGTCATTACATTTTGTGGGTACTGTGACCAAGACTTTGATCTTTTGTTTTTCAGTGAATTGATTTTTTAAGCAAGCCTGACATGCCATTCATTAATAATGCATGAAGAAAATTAAATTGGAAAATTAAAAAAAAAGCGACAGTGGTGTTACGGCTCCTAACGTTTCTCCTTCATTACATCTTGGTCACAGTTCCCTGCTTTGGGATTCAAGTAACTCAGATGGACTGAGAGCCAGAGGAGTGAAGATTAAAGGACAGAAGTCATAGAATGTGAGTCTATGATTGTTCTTAGGTTCATAATAACCACATACTCTCGGCATCTTAGGCTTTTAGATGGTCAGATTTTTTTTTTTTTGAATTGTACTTCACGTGAAGGTTTACAGAACAAATAGTTTCTCATTAAACTGTCAGTACACATATTGTTTTATGATATTGGTTAACAACCCCACGACATGTCAACCCTCTCCCTTCTTGACTTTTTTTTTTTGGTGAAAATATACATAGCCAAAGATACAACATTTCAGGAATTTCTACATGCACAGTTCAGTGACATTGATTACCTTCTTCCAGTTGTGTTGCTATTCTCACTTTAGATGAAGGTTTACAGAACTAAATAGTTTCTCATTAAACGGTTAGTACACATGTTGCCCTATGACAATGGTTAACAACCTCACAACACATCAACACTATCCCTACTCAACCTTGGGTTCCCTATCACCAGCTTTCCTGTCCCCTCCTGCCTTCTAGTCCTTGTCCCTGGACTGCTGTGCCTCCTTAGTCCCGTTTTGTTTCATGGGGCTGTCCACTCGCCAGCTGAACAGTGAACCTCGGAAGTTAATTCACCACTGAGCTAAAAGGGTGTCTGGCGGCCATATTCTCTGGGTTTCTCCAATCTCCTTTAGGCCAGTAACTCTGGTCTTTTTTGTGTGAGTTAGAATTTTGTTCTACATCCTTCTCCAGCTCTGTCCAGAACCTCTGTTGTGATCCCAGTCAGAGCAGTCAGTGGAGGTAGCCGGGCACCATCTAGCTGTACTGGACTCAGTCTGGTGGAGGCCTTGGTAGCTGTGGTCCATTAGTTCTTTGGACTAATCTTTTCCTTGTTTCCTCTTCTGTTCATTCTCCCTTGCTCCCGAAGGGATGAGACGAGTGGAGTATCTTAGATGGCTGCTAATAGGCTTTTAAGACCCCAGACGCTATTCACCAAGGTAGAATATAGAACATTGCCTTTATAAACTGTGTTATGCCAGTTGAGCTAGATGTTCCCTGAGTAGATGGTCAGATTTTTATGAGTTGATGATATTGGGCTGCAAGGTTTGAAACTGGTTGAGGCTTGCCTCATGAATTAGCCTCTTTGCTTATTATGGTGGTTTTCAGAATTTCCTTTAGGGAGTACTTGACCTGAGCTTAAGAATTCAGTGTTTTGCCTAAGTGAATTATTTTAAAGAGTACTTCATTGTTTCTTTCCACCGTAATACCTTTTCTAGGACCATTGTGCCTCCCCCTGTCTGTTCTTACCTCCTTGGTCCTTGACACTTTATGATGTTGGACCAGGATGAAGATAAGGGAAGATAACAAGGCCCAGGGTCATTTCTGCACTTAACCTATCCCCATCTTCTTCAAAATTTGTGGACACAGATAGCCTTTCTTGGCTGAGTCTACAGGACATCATCCAGACCATCCGTGTAAAACAGTAGCAGGAGCAGATAACTCAGCTTGAAACTTACTAGCAGTATATGGTGAGGGACTGACAGTCCAGTAGTGATTGCCGACGTCACCTGGAATCAGAACTCCGTGACTTGGCACACAGACCCCATCCCACCCCACTTCCCACGTCCTTCATGGCAGTGATGGTGATGGTGGAGGTAGTTAGGTTCCTAGGAGGTTTGTATTTATAGTCAGGATTGCTAACCACTGGTTTCAAGTCCGCAGTGGTCCTTCCTCTGTTGATCAGAATCTCCCCAAACCACACAATTTACCTTTGACCTTTTTTAAAAAACCTTTGCCATTTTGGATCTTCTCAAGATGATGGAAATCTACAGAGTGAGGCTGATGAAGCAACTTGACTTGGTGTGATTTCTCTTCCGTCTTAGTATCTTCAGACAGAAAAACTTACACGGCCAGATTCTTTGCCAGCACTTGCCCTTGCTTGTAAGACAGGATGAGAGGGTGAGGTCTCTGCTTCGTTTTCCAAGCTGTCCTAGCAGAGAAAAATGCAAAGCACAGTCATCTCACAGTCAATAAGTACCACTTTTCTCTTTGAATTGTTCTGTTTTTAGGTATTAGGTCTGGAAATACTTTCCCATATTCCAAAATCTCAAGGTCGCCCTCCGTTTGTTTTCTGTGGTGGTAAAGAGAGTATAACAAGACAATCTTTTTGCCTGGGTCTGAAAGTCATAGTTTTATACCTGGTCTAGAGTGAATCTTAAGCATATTGTGTTTGTCTAGACAGAACAAAAATAATTTTCCTTCAGCATTTTCCAGATATGACTTTATCTTACAGAGTGTGAACCTTGCTCTAGCTTAACTCCAGGTCTGTCGATCTGCGCCCATAAAGCTTACAGCCTAGGAAACCCTGTGGGACAGTTCTACTCTGTCACGTGGGGTCGCTGTGAGTCAAAATTGACTCGACGGCACCTAACAACAACAACAGCTTGTTTTAAGTATCCATGATTTTAAACAATGAATTGTGTAATTCTTTGGATTTTTAAAATTCTATATTTAAAAAAAATGCATAATTAATACAGGTTTGTGGTAATAAAAATTCAGCAATATAGAAGTGAATAATGTAAAAACTGAAGGCTCCCTCTCCCTCGCCGTTAAGTTTGGTGTGAATCTTTCTCACCCCTCTTCGGTGGGCTGTGTGGTTTCAGGCCCTGTGCTGAGTTGTAATGTCACACCATAAAATGGAAGTGCATATGTTGCTTTTCTTACCTGCTTGTCTTCAGGGTAATAAATTGCTTTTAAATCCATCTCAGCAGCATCTTCTCATTTTTAATACCCAGATCTTTTCAGGTTTCTAGATTCAGTGTGGAGATGGTTTCTTATTGTGTATAAAGAAACATTTAGACCGTGGAAGTTATTTTAATAGTAACTGTTGTTTCTGCTTTCTTTCTCCTGTAGATTCTAAAATTGTTTCATGTTTTCCTCTCTGCAGATTTAACCCGGAGACTGACTTCAGTATAGAAACACCCACGGTTGTATCAATGGTTGGGAAAAGATAGTGACAACAGGCGACAGGAGACCAGCTCTGACACAGTAAGGACAATGAGTATGCTCAAACCAAGTGGGCTCAAGGCCCCGACTAAGATCCTGAAGCCTGGAAGCACAGCCCTGAAGACGCCTGTTGCTGGTAATGCTTTATGCTCATCCTATTAAAATAGCAAGTCAATCATCATCATTTAGGAAGACTCCAATTTGAAATTTTTAAAAACATAACTTTATAAAAATTTATATTCTTGAAAATGTTGAAAAAGGTTTTAATTAAAAGGCATAGAATTTTATGTACTGTTGTTTTAATCAGTGAAGAGTTTACTTTTCTTGTCGGTTGTCTTTTTAATTTAGTTAATTTAGTGCAAGGTGCTATCACTAGTTTTCAAGTTAAGTACTTCAGTATTCAGCCCTTAAAGGGTTAAGGTATTTCTTTAGTGTTTTTTTCCACGTGTCTTCTGAATTCATCGGGACCTCCTGTCAAGTGGATTCCGACTCAGAGTAGAACTGCCCCATAGGGTTTCCAAGGAGTGGCTGGTGGATTCCAGCGGCCGACCTTTTGGTTAGCAGCTAAGTTCTTAACCACTTCGCCACTAGGGCCCCTCCTTCTTCAGGTTTAGAGATAAATAGAGAAAACGAAGACCAGTCTGGCTTAAAAGATTTTATGACGCTAACTGATCGGAAGTTGGCCGCTGGTGTCCAGGCAGCTGGCAATACAGTGTCTCAAGTCTAACTCAACGAGGGAAACGTGTCCCAAACATTTCATAGGTGAACCTCTGCCCTTTGTTGTCATCAGCCATCTTCTCCTTGTCTGTTCTCCAACTCCTCACCCATCATTTCAGTTTACATCCCATAGTGAATACCTAAGGTCTTTAATAATAGAGACAGGAGGGAGGCCATCTTTTATGGACTCTTTAGGTGATTTATATACTGTTAGATACCTTCCTAATGTTGCTAGCCATTCCAGACATTCAGGTACCTTACACAGTATATTAAATCCAACATTGTTTCTTCAAGTTCTTCCATAAAGACACTCACTGGTGCTCTCTGAGGGCAGGGATCTGTTTTTTTCCACTGCTGCTATATCCCACATACCTAGAACATTGCTGGCATACAACAAAAGCTTAGTAAATATTTGTGGAATAAATGGAGATCTCAAGTTACATATGTTTTCTGTATCAGGATAAAACTGAGTTTTTATCAAAGAGGCTGTGAAGCATCTTAGATGAGGGGAAAGCTTTACTGATAAAGCAAAAGACTATTAAGAAATGGATTTGTTTCAGGGCTGTTTAGCCTTGGGGAAATCAGGACAAAACTGGTGTCTCCTATTCTCCTTCCCCTTAAAATCCTCCTCCTCTTTTTAAGACTCCTTCCAATGCCAACTCTTCCATCAACCCTTCTGTTGTTACACTCCACCCCCATTTTAGAATTGTCCGTTTTTCACTTTCAGCATTTTTTATGCACACCCCTTACGTATAAAGTTCCTGAGTTCAGGGATCAGTTCAGTGTCCCCAACAGCACTTAGCACACACTAGATATTTTTTAAAGAGTAAAGCAGCTTATTAATGTTAAAAGTTACATACTCAGATCCTTCTTAGTTCATTGCCAAGGAATTCAAGGCACTTTTATAAGGATTGTTTTTCAGAGACCCAGGCAGCCTGTGAAGAAGAACTGTAGATGAACAAAGCTAGAACAGACTCTGAAACTCTGACTGGCTGGCCTCTGGCTTTGGCAGATTATCATCTGTTCTGAGAGCCTCTGTTCTCTTCTAAAAAACCCTCTGCAAATGGAAACTGCACAGTCTCTTTCTGTGTTGGTTAAAGAGATGTTTGGTGCTTGGTCTAGGCCTGCTGGACTGTCTTCCCCCCATCTTTGCATGGTTCACTCCCTTTTGTTGGTCAGGCCTCAGGCCAGATGTCACCTCCTCCAGGAAGCCTTCCTTGACTGCTCTGTCTTCTCCACAGCACTTAGACCTGAAGTTACCTGATGTGTTGCTGTACTGTGTGTCTCCTACTTCTAGACTCTAAGCTCTATGAGGGTATGGACTGTGCTGTCTTGCTTTGTCCAGAGCAATGCCTAGGACTAGTCCTGGAGTGGTAGGAACTCAGTAACATGTGCAGAGTGAATACATACAGTATTTTATTTAATCCTCATTTTAAAAACCCTCAAGATACTTTTATTCCCTTACAGATGAAGGAATTAAACTCAGAGAGATTGTGCAACATTCTGAGATCATGATATGCCTAATAAATGGTAGCGTGGTTAAGAATGTGGGCTTTGCAAATTTATACTAAAGTTTTAGTATGTGTTAGTCGAATGCATAAATGAATTTCCAGTGAAATGTCACATTCCTGGCAAAATAAAACTTCTGTCTTTCACATAGGGTAGAGATTGCTCAGAGTTAAGTTGCCTTAACAGGGCGTTTGGCCAGATGCTGCCTTTTTCCTTTGCTGTGATTTCCACCTCACTAGCAAAGGAGAAGGGTTTGTTTGGCATTCCTGGAGTAATGATGGTAGGGGCTGCAGCACGGAATCCCCTCCTTCGTCAGGCCTGATTGTGGGTCCCAGTGCTTACGTGGTCCTGGTTTGTCAGCTTTAGTTGACTGCTCACATAGAGGACTGACAAAAAACCAAACCAAACTCGTTGCCATCGAGTCGATTCCGACTCATAGCGACCCTATAGGACAGAGTAGAACTGCCCCATGGAGTTTCCAAGGAGTGGCTGGTGGATTCTAACTGCTGACCTTTTGGTTAGCAGACGAGCTCTTAACCACTACACCAGTAGGGTTTCCACACAGAGGACTGGAGCCCATAAATAGTGGATGACTGTTTGCTCATGACGTTCTTGGTGGGGGTGGAGTGAAGAATGAAATCAGGCCTGTATTATGAACTCTGGGAAAAGGACTAATTTTGTCTTGCTTTGACTTCTTCCCATGTTAATTGCAAATAAGGAATAAACCTCACCAGTTCAGTGATTTATAACAGCACTGAACGTACTCTTTGCCTCCTTGCTAAAAGAAAAAAAAAAAAAACAACTACAAAGAAGACAAAAACACCTTTAAATGAGTTGAGTGGCCTGACAGACTGGAGAAACCCGGAGAGTATGGCCCCCGGACACCCTTTTAGCTTCGTGGTGAAGTCACTCCTGAAGTTCACCATTCAAGTGGGGATTGGACAGCCTCATAAAACAAAACGGAGCTAATGAGGCACAGCAGTCCAGGGACAAGGACTTGTAGGCAGGAGGGGACAAGAAAGCTGGTGAAAGGGAACCCAAGGTTGAGAAGGGGCAGAGTTGACATGTAGTGGGGTTGTTAACCATTGTCATAGGGCAATATGTGTACTGACTGTTTAATGAGAAACCATTTGTTCTGTAAACCTTCATCTAAGGTACAAAAAAAAAAAAAGTTATCTATGTGAGATCAAATTGACAACAACAACTCAAAAGGTTTGATGAGAAGCCTAGGGGGCAGTGAGTTGAAAATAATGGTGATGGAATGATTTGGAAAAGGATAGTGAGAATAGCAGCACAAATGAAAGAATGTAATCGATGTCACTGAATTGTACATGTAGAAACTTTTGAATTGGTGTAACTTTGGCTGTGTATATTTTCACCAGAGAAAAGGTCCTCAAGGTCGAGAAGGGAGAGTGTTGACATGTCGTGGGGTTGTTAACCAATGTCATAAAACAATACATGTACTGTTTAATGAGAAACTATTTGTTCTGTAAACCTTCATCTAAAGTACAATTAAAAAAAAAAAAAAGTTGTGGGCTACTCCTGGTGCTATTGGCTTCCTCTAGTTTATTTTTTAGGTCTTTTTTTATGCTTTAGATGAAAGTTTACAGAGCAAATTAGTTTCTCATTAAACAATCAATAGACGAATTGTTTTGTGATGTTGGTTGCTAATCCCATGATGTGTCAACACTCTCCCCTTCTTCTAGTTTATTTTTTAAGCTACGGATTGTCTGGTTGAATATGAAACTGAATCTATTCTGATCCTTTCTTCTGTTTTTCAGTTGTAGTTCCAGTAGACAAAACAACATCGAGGGAAAAGGCATCAAGCACTCCCTCCGCTGAGACACAAGAGGAATTTGTGGATGACTTTCGAGTTGGGGAGCGAGTTTGGGTGAACGGTAATAAGCCTGGATTTATCCAATTTCTTGGAGAAACCCAGTTTGCCCCAGGCCAGTGGGCCGGGATTGTTTTAGATGAAGCTATAGGCAAAAATGATGGCTCGGTGGCAGGAGTCCGGTATTTCCAGTGTGAACCTTTAAAGGGCATATTTACCCGACCTTCAAAGTTATCAAGGAACGTACAAGCAGAAGATGAAGCTAACGGCCTGCAGATGGCTCATGCGTCCAGAGCTACTTCGCCTCTGTCTACTTCTGCAGCCAGCGTGGTCCCTTCCTCCTCCCCAGCAACGCCCTCAAATATTCCTCATAAATCATCCCAACCTATAGCAAAGGAACCTTCAACTACGCCTCATATCAGCAACCTTACCAAAACTGCCAGCGAATCTATCTCCAACCTTTCAGAAGCTGGCTCAGTCAAGAAAGGAGAGAGAGAGCTCAAAATCGGAGACAGAGTATTGGTGAGTGCAGAAACATTCTAGGTCATTGTGTAGCACTGAGGTGTAGTCTCTGGTGAGTGGTTGAAACGCACGTGGAGGGTGCTCCTTGGCTCAGGGTCTGTTCTGGAAAGATGACCACACATTTCTGGAGAATTTCATCAGCTTTTCTAGTTGTTTAGTTTATGCATAAACATGCAACAAAATAGAAACCAGCTATGTAGTTTGTGCATAGTATGAGCGTAGGTTTGCGGTGACAGACTCTGGTTTTATCTACCACCTTAGCCAGATTGAGTGCAGAATTTGTCAATATTAAGGCAACCATACTTGACAAAACATGCTTAGAGGTAGACTGAGGTATGTTTGTGAAGGTTTTTTCTACTTTTTTTTATGGGGTGTTTTATTTTTATTTTTTTAGTTTTATTTATTTGTTGTTGTTGAGAATATACACAGCAAAACATACACCAATTCAACAGTATCTACATGTACAATTCAGTGACACTGATTACATTCTTTGAGTTGTGCCACCATTTTCACCCTCCTTTTCTGAGTTGTCCCCCCATTAACATAAACTCACTGCCTCCTAAGTTTCCTATCTAATTTTTCAAGTTGCTGTTGTCATTTTGATCCCAGATAGATAGTTCTTAAAAGAGCACAATGCTCAAGGCAGACATTCTTTTTCTTTTTCTTTTTTATTGTTGTACTTTAAGTGAAAATTTACGATTCAAGTTAGTCTCTCATACAAAAATTTATACATACATTGTTATGTGACCCTAATTGCTCTCCCTATACTGTGACAGTACACTCCTCCTTTCTACTCCTGATTTCCCATTTCCACTCAACCAGCTCCTAACCTTCTCTGCCTTCTCGTCTCACCTCCAGACAAGAGCTGCCCATTTAGTCTCATGTATCTACTTGAGCTAAGAAGCACACTCTTCAGAGTATCATTTTATGTCCCATAGTCCAGTCTAGGCTTTGAAGGCAGACATTCTTTACTAGTTAAGCTAAAGTATTGTTTGATTTTAAGAAGTCTTCAGGGGATATTTTCGGTTTAAGGTTTAAAGATTATCTCAGGGCAATAGTTGGGGATTTATCCAGCCTCCATGGATCCAGAAAGTCTGGATTCCATGAGAATTTGAAATTCTATTATGTATTGTCCCCCTTTTGCTCAGGATTCTTCTATATAATCTTTGATCAAAATTTTCTAATTTTTAATCATTGCTTTAGGAATAGTGGGTGGGTATATATAAGATCCTCCTTCCTTAAATGCCCTGGGAAGACTCACATCTGCTCGTTTCAGTGGAGGATGTTATTTCAGAATTTCTGGTCCTTTTAAATGATCAGATTTAGATCTAGGAAGAGAAGGAAATGTACAGTGCTCTTGCTTTACTAATAAACAGGAAAACAAGATATAAGGTCTACATGCTGTACGCTTGGAACCTCTGAATTTACAATGTAATGATTGGTTTGCCTGTTTCTTTGTGTGAGAAAACAAGAGGCAGTGTAGCACAGTGCTGAAGAACACAGCTTGAGTCCCAGCTTTGCCTTTGTGGCCTCAGGCAAGTTATTTAACTTCTTAGTTTCCCCCAGTACTTCGAACCCATTCAAACCATTTCAGTCATGGCCAATGAAGCGAAATTGGAATACGTGTAAATTTTTAAAATTTGAGGAAACAGAACGATAACCAGAATGGGAAAATTATAGGTTGAAGCCCTGGAATGGGAGACTCAGAGGAGACCTAGTGAGCCCTTTTAGGACCTTAATGTGGGAGACTGGATTATTGCCAGGACTGTGAAGAATGACACACATTCAAAACGTCTCGCTCGTCTGCTGTCTTTGAATGAGGCGTCTCTGTTTCTAACTCTGCTGGTTTAAAAGATTTGGTTGCTATGCAACACACATGCTGCCCTTGTTTTCTAAGAAGATTTAAGTTTCTAGCAGGGCTTTGACTCATAATTTTTCCCATTTTTTCCCATTCTGCTTATTGTTCTGCTTCACCCAAATTTAAAAAATTTGTGTCTGTGTGGATTTTGCTTCGTCAGCCATGACTGAACCAGGCAGAACTGGTTTGAAGCCATGGTTTCATCACCTGTGAGAGTGAGGTTAATACTAGTACTAACTCCATAGCATTGTTGTGGTGATTACATTAGATCATGGATATAAAGTTCAGAGCAGAGTACCTGGCGTACAGCAAACACTCAAGAAATAGTAGCTGTTTTTCTTACTGTTGAAAGTAAAATACTGTTTTGATGAACTATTTAAACTTCACTATTTTACTCGTTTCAACACTTTCATCGATTCAGTTCAGGGCATGCTTGACATTTATCAAAAATCTTTAAGCCTGTTCTCTTTCAATTTCCTTTTATTTGTTCATTGACTTTAATACTCTACAGGGCCTGATGGCTGTCAGTGATCTGATGGGTATATGAGAATGATCGCTGGTCCTTTGAGTGCACCATGTGCCTCATTTAATGATTCGCTACTGGTGTAGAGTGCCCCCATGTCATTGGCAAGGAAACTGAGGCTCTGAGAAATGAAGTCTCTTGCCCAAGGTCTCACAGCCGTAGAGGTGTATCTGCAATCTGAACGTAGGTATTTTTACTCCAGAGCCTGCCATGTAGAGTAGTTGATTGATGGTATAATTTTGAAATTGAAGGTATTCTTCGTAATATTGTTGGCTGACAAATAAGTGTAAGCCCAGAGAAATGAGGTGCCTACTCACAGCCATATAATGAGTTCATGGAGAATTTTAGGAGTGAACTCAGGCTTCCATCTTCTGGGCCGGTAGCATTTCAAATCCAGGAGGCCTCACACACCTGTTGTTATTGTTGTTAGGTGCTGTTGAGCCAGTTCTGGCTCATAGCAACCTGCGTACAACAGAACTAAATGCTGTCTGCTCCTGCACCATCCTCACAATTGTTGCTGTGTTTGAGCCCGCTTTTGCAGCCACTGTGTCAATCCATCTAGCTGACGGTCTTCGTCTTTTTTGCTGACCCTCCACTTTACCGAGCATGATGTCCTTCTCCAGGGATTGGTCCCTCCTGATAACATGTCCAAATTAAGTGAGACAAAGTCTCTCCATCCTGGCTTCTAAAGGAGCATTCTGGCTGTAGTTTTTCTAAGACGGATTTGTTCCTTCTTCTGGCAGTCCATGGTATATTCGGTATTCTTCGCCAGCATCATGATCCAAATGCATCAATTCTTCTTATTTAGATCCACAATTAATGCCATGGAAGCAACAGTCAAGAAGTCAGACAATGTATTGCATTGGGCAAATCTGCTGCAAAAGACCTCTTTAAAGTGTTAAAAAGCAAAGATGTCACTTTGAGGTCTAAGGTTCACCTGATCCAAGCCATGGTATTTTCATTCACCTCACACACCTGTGGAAGCCTTTTAATACCCGTTACCTTCTAGGGTATTAGGATCCCTTAGTTTCAAAGTCAATAGGTTTCCTTTTCCAATTACAATAATCATAAATTTCAAAGGACAATGCTTCAGAACTTAGTGCTTCCTAAAACATAGTATTTCAGTGCTGTGCAGCTAACTCAATGTCTCTCGTTTGTTCGGCTAATACTGCACCAATTCTGATTTTGGCACAACTACTCTTTTGTTGTAACAAAGAATCTTTGTTGTTTTATTTTCCCCATCATTTTTGCTGTATAAGTATTGCTGCCATGAATGCTCTTTTAAAAATTTTTTGTATCACTTACTAGGTGAAAGGGTATAAACATTTTTTCAAGACCTATGGTACATATTTGCTAGTATGTTTTGGTTAAATCAGAGACCTGTTAGATTGCAGGTTATATGGAACACCATTTTAGTAGCTTAGCTGTAAACCCCTCCTTTCTTTCCCATTCACTAAAGCGTCCGGCACATTTTCAAATCAAGCTCTGCCTCGCCTCAGCCAGGTTGAGAAACAGCTGATTAAATGCCACTCCGGTGGTGTGCTGCTGGGCCCCAGAAAGATGACAAGCTCAGAATGGTTCACCTTATAACAGAAGGCTTCCACAAGGATGTCATGACTCAAGTGAGACCGGAAGAAAAGTAGGATTTGGCCAGGCAGAAGGAAGTGGTTGTGGTGAGAGGGAGTGTTCTGGAAGAGGGAAGAGCAGGTGCAAACTCCCTGAGATGAGCAGGAGTTTGAGGATGAGGCCAGTGCCCTTCCCCAGGTACAGTGAGCGCGCGGGAGATGAGACTGGCTAAGCAGTTTGGGTCTACAGGGACTGGTGACATGGGACACGAGGACAGGTCATGTTAGGGGTTTTGATTTTGATCTTAAGAACAATGAGAGTGAGGAGTGATGTGATTTGGTTTGTATTTTGGAAGGATCACTCTAACCGCTGTGTAAGGAGTGGATTGGAGGTGGGCGGGGATGGATTCGAGGTGACCAGTCTTTTAAGAAGATGGATTTTGAAGGAGAGTAGATCAATCAGGCTGATGCTGGAAGAGAATGTTGGGTCAAGGGAAGATTTTTTTCTCTTTAAAATGGCAAAGTCCAGAGTGTTCCTATCCTGGTTCAGATGGTCTAGACTGAGGCGGAGGTTGAAGCATTCGGGAGCGGGTCACTGATGGAATGAGGATCCCGGGGAGGTGGAAGGAGGTGATACCCTCCGCACACACAGGGGAGCCTCTATTTTTATAGGAAGGTAGAAGGAGAGTGGAATCCCTAGGTGGTGCAAATGGTTGATGTGCTCGGTTGCTAACTGAAAGGTTGGAAGTTCAAGTCCACGCAGAGGCGCCTCGGAAGAAAGTCCTGGCCATCTACTTTTGAAAAATCAGCCATTGAAAACCCTGTGGAGAACACTTCTACTGTGACACCCATGGAGTCACTGTGAGTCAGGGTCAGCTCAAGGGTGCTGGTTCTTTTTAGAAGGAGAATCTCAGATACAGGTTGGTTTATAGACGTTTGAATGGCATATTTGTAGGAAACTTTGAGTTACATGTTTAAAACTAGTTTATTTGGAACAATTTAAATTAATTTCAATCTGTAAAATAATAATACTGTGTTATTGAGGCAATAAAAT